ATCAATCATGTCTAATTCTATTTGGATCTTTGACAGACCATTCATTCATTAATCCCCCAAATAAAATTAACATTTTTAAAAGTAACCTTGTCATACTACAAAATTCTTTGGCGAGCCTTCTACCCATTTCCCATTGTTGTGGGAAAATTCTTGTTAACCCAGTTCTCTCATATTCAGCCAATTTATTGACAAACCAACGATATCTAAATATGAAATGAATTAAACAATAAATTTTATTTTTAAATGAAAATTGAGGCGTTTCCATAATTCACAGAAAAACTCTTCTTTTTAAAAAATTTGTTTAGTAAACCTTTCTTCAATCTTATCAAGCCAAGCAACATCTTCTGAATCAGCATACAAAACTCCATAAATTCCCAATTGCTGAGAGATGAACCATTCAATAAAGTTATCTTGTAATTGCCCCCCGAGAACGGCCTTTTAAAAAAATTTCTTTAAAAAAATTAAATTAAAAAACTACCATTACTCTGCACATATCGCTAGTTTGAGAACCAATTTGACCTGACTGAAAATTTAATTTTTTTAATTAAAAATTTTTTTCTTACAGTAAAAGCAGATTTCAAATCCCCAATTAATTGCACACTTAATTGTTCGCGTATTTTTTGTAATTTTTCCATAAGGTTTTTGATATGTTCGATATGTTGATAGTCCTCAAAAAGAATGAGGACGTTAAGGACAGCTGGAAGTTCTATTGCAATATCACGGTATTGCCGATTGGAAACCCATTGGACTGAAAAAATATTGAAATTTTACGAATTTTAATATGTTATGGTCAGCATCGAAAACAATGACAAATTCTGGTACTTGTGTAGTTTACACCCCATAAGCTCAGCCCCTTTATTCTTTCTTCTTTTTCTTTAGAAAGTGACCACAATAAAAATGAAAACATCGACCCGTTTGATCATTTTATGAAGGAAAAGGGGCGGGGCTTATGGGGCGTAAACTACACAAGTACCAAAATTCTGAACAAAAAAATAAGCAAAAATATATGTAGATCCCACCAAGAAGACAAAAAAATTTACTTAAAGAATTCACGCCATTCAATAAAAGATGTAGATGGTGTAAAGTAGTAATAGATTCAGTCAAATTCCGTTTTGCTACATCTAATTGTCTAATATCTTTTGTAAGTTCAAATACAGAATCTTCTGAACAACGAGTTTTTCCCCTCATTTCTTTAATTTTTTGGTCAAGTTCTCCAATCATTGATTTAGCCTAAAAACAAAATTAAAAAAAATTTCACTTTAAAAACTTGTAAAAGTGTATTATTAGCATCCACAGCACAACGTCCATGTTCAGCAACAGCTTTAGATAAATCTTGTTCACATTGCTCCTAAAAATTAATTTTTTTTTCAAAATTTAGACAAAATTAGAAACAATTTCTTCGTCAAATTTTTTCATAAAAACATCCAATTGTGCCAAAGATTGTTCTGTTGGAAATAATTTATTAATATAAACAGTTAAATCAAAATCTGGCCGAATTAATTCTGAATCGTCTACTTGAGCCATTAAAGCACGGACCTGAAAATGAAGAAAATTTTTTTTTATTTTTTCTCAAACTTTTGAAGAAAACATAGGAAATTCATCCATTGACTGGTTATCATCAACCATTTTCTTTTTTGTTGTTTCATCAATTAAATCAGATTCAACAGAAAGAATACTGCTACTTGGCATTTTTTTCAACTAAAAAAATTTAAAAAATTCAAAGAAAATCCTTCAGAAATTCTCCAAAAATTCTTTAAAATACCGTATTTATTTCAAAATGTCAACTAAACAGAAATACTTCAATTTAACTAAAGAATGTTAAAGGACAATTTAACTTATCTTTTATCAATTTTATTTGAAAACATAAAAAAAACATTTATAAATTCCTAATGTTCCCTTGTCAGAATTTAAAATTTAATTAATATTTTCTTTCTTTTATTGATTAAAAATTAATTTATTTTTAAAATAAAATTACCGTATTTCCTATATTAGAGCCCCATGGGGCTCTATTTTTCAACTATCCTCCAAGGTGGGGCTGTATTAAAGGGTGGGGCTCTAATTGAGGGTGGGGCTCTATTTTTCAACCCTATTTTGAGATAAAATCCCATTTATTAAATATCCATTGTAACTAGAGTTAGGCCGGAGGGGTGGTCGATAAAACCGAAAAATATAGGAAAGAATCAAAATTTTCGATTTTTTACAAAAAATTAAAATTTTATAAGCATTGAATAACAAAATAGTCGCAATAGTTCAATGAGAGTAAAACCATTTATGAAATTTTGGTAGATTTGGCCGGATTACGGGAAATATTAGGGGTTTAGTATTTGACATCGATGGATCAGAGGTATAATAGTGGATTTTAATTGATTATGGGGAATATAATAGGATTAAGTTTATATTGAAAGATTTAGCGGGAATAAGAGGGATATTCTGGATTAGGGGTATTAGGAGGCATATGAAGCGATTTTGTTTGATGAGCTTTGGAACAGGTTCCAGAACTGGAACCGGTTCCAGAGAAATTTTGGAACTTCTCCATCACGGATTATAAGTCCCTAATAGATCTCTAATAATTTCGAGAATTATCGTCAATTTCCTAACACGACTGCAACCCTTCATACAATGATTAGATTTTGGAGGTAATAGGAGGGATTTGGAGGATATCGGGGATCCCTCCTCCTCCATGATCACAATATTATCAATATCACCCTTTACTTCCTTAGCTCTCGAAATACATCTAAAAATTTATTGGGATATTTTTTTCCTCCGATATTTTTAAGTGGGGCTGTATTTGGGGTGGGGCTCTAATTGAGGGTGGGGCTCTATTTTTCAACTATCCTCCAAAGTGGGGCTGTATTAGAGGGTGGGGCTCTAACAGAGGGTGGGGCTCTAATATAGGAAATACGGTAATTATTTTTTTATTGTCAGCTGTGTTGCAAAATAAAATAATGTATGAGTCATAAAAATATTTAAATTTAAAAATGTCTAAATTAAAGGGAACAAGTAATCTTAGCTGGATTTAATATTTACTATTCTTCACAAATAATTTTTTATTGGATTGCCAATAAAAGTAAGGAGAAATAAATTAATTAATTTAAATTTTTTTAAGTTAAAAATTTTATTTTACGGATTACGCAATTTTTATTTCTTAAATTACTTCAATATACAATATTAGCACCTATTTTGGTGCCTTATTATACTGTGAAGAGACATTGGCATAGTGCTAAATTTGTAAATTAATTTTTTAATTTTAAACTACTTTCTGTAAAAAATTCCAAAAAGTAAAATATTTATTAAAAACTCGTCAAAAGCGAATGGGAAAAAGGAATCTAATAATAAAAGTTTTCAATTGATACATAGTAGCAAATAGAGATCGGTATTTTCAAAAATTCCTGGATCTTGACTCTGGATCCAGGAAAAGTACAGACTGGATCCAAATCCAGATAGATCTCTAGTAGCAAAATAAATATCAAAAACAAAATAACAAAAGAAAATAAATAATTACCGTATTTCCTCTAATAGAATGCCCCTCTGGAAGGTGATTGAAAAATAGAATGCCCGGACATTTAATTAGATTAAATTTAATAATTAATTATATTTAATTATGTAGATATGGCGTACTTCTATAAGTTTTTGGGGATTTATTTGTTGGAGTTGGTTTTGGTGGACTGGACAAAAACAACCTTCTAATCCTCCTAATATTAATTCACAAATTAATAAAAATGAAAGAAATAATTTAAATAATGAAATTAATTTTAATCAAAATTCCCCTCCTCAAAATTATTTTGATTCAATAAAAGAACAAATAATTATTGTTTTAACAAGAATGACAACGAGGTATTAATTAGAGTTGTACCCCGACCCCGTACCCCGACCCCGTTCCCGAACGATTTTTTCACGATTCTCCCCGACCCGAACCCCGCCCCGAAAAAAAGTGAAAACCCCGTTCCCCGGACCAAAAAGTTTCGGGGTTTCGGGGTTTTATACCCCTAAAAAATGTCATTTTTTGGAGAAATTAATGAAGAAAATTTAAAAAATTTCCACCCATTTTACTTTGCTTTTATTATTCTTGAAAGAAAATTAAATGAAATATCATAATTTTCTTTCCTTCTTTATTAAGAGACTTGTGGTTGAGTGGCTTAGTCGTTGGTTTTAGCAGATATTTCATTAATATAGGATTGGGTTCGGATCCATATAAGGAGAACTATTTTGTTTTTATATTTCTTTACAAAAACATATTATTAACGAGTTAAATTTTAATTTTAAAATATTAATTTTATTTTTAACTGATATCCCTTGAACGAACCTTAATCCTTCAAACCCCTTGTATCACCAGTAAGGGGTTCCCAACCATAACTATCAAGGTCCTGTTAACGTGAATCAGAGATATAAAGGGATCTGTAGTATATCGAAGAATTAAGGAGTTAAAGGGATTCAAAGGGATCTAAGGTTTAAATTAAAATGTATTTAAAAGTATTACGCGAATTTAACGGATATATGTAGATGAATTACCATGGATTTCGTGGGAGATTTAAGGATTAATTGAAGATATCTCCCGATATCCGTCCAAATACCCTTATCCGCAATACATCAAATCCTTATAAATCACTAATATCCCTTGAACCAACAAAAATCACTCCAGATCACCTTGTATCCCTAAATATACCATTTAATCCCTAAAAATCCCACTTAATCCCTCCAGATCCACTTATATCCCAAGTTATACACTTTAATCCCTTCAAATCCCCTCTAATTTCTCCAAATCCTACTTAATTTTTGAATAAATCAGCGAAAATATATCGATTTCTAATTATTTTTGAGCATTTTTTTCTCTAAAAATTTTTCCACTAAACCCCCGTACCCCGACCCGAACCCCGGCCATATTTTGCTCCCCCGACCCGAACCCCGCCCCGAAACAATTGGAAAACCCCGTACCCCGACATACCCGCCCCCGAGCGTTCGGGGTACAACCCTAGTATTAATTAAGGAGTTTTTGAGAGTTTTATTTAAATTTTTTTAACAAAAAGTTGGTCTTATTTAATTTGGATGGTCCTTTATTTCTTTTTAATGTATTGGCTATTATGTGGAGTTTGTTGGATTGTTTATCAATTTTATTGGCCAAAATATTTGGATTAAATATTTGGAAAATAATTTATACAATGTCAGAAAATCGGAGATTTTTTAAGCTTATTCACTGTTTCTAATCAAAATACTTTTAATTGTAAATAAACGATAATTAATTATTAAATTGTTATTTTATTTTCAAAAGAAAAATAAAAATTTTTTTTATTTATTAAAACAATCACGTGTTTGTCCAGAAAATTTTCCTTCTAAATTTAATGTTCCAATATTAAAAGTCTTTTTTGGTATAGATCCTTGGCTTATATAATCATCGGGAATCTATAGAGATAAAATTGAGAATTTTTGGTTTGATAAAATTTAAATATTAATCGCAACTATTTATTATAAAGGAATTTTTTCTTACTCTTTTTAGCTGCTAATAATATCTGAAATTATTTTAACAACTTACTTCAATTGATATTTTTAATAAACAAGGTGTTAATTCATCATTACAATTCTAAAAAAAATTAAGGAAATAATTTCCATAAAATGCTTACTTACATGATAAATATTAACTTTCGGCTCAATATCAGTAACTTCTGTCTCACTTCCACTTAGTTCAAAATTACCTTCTTCGTCGGTTACACCTTCATCCATTAAATCATCAGGGTCAAAAGCTATTTCAGAAATTATTAAATTAAAATTTAATTAACTTTTAAAGATCTCAGTATTAAAAAAATTATTAGATTATGTGAGAGTTTCAATAAACAAAAATATATTTGACTTGATTTAGTTCTGAATTAACATGGAAATATTTGGATATGTATTTGGTGAATAATTACGTCAAAAATGTTTGGGGTTTTTGTTTATTCATTGATTAAAATTTTAACATAAAATAACGACTAAGAATTTTACATTAATAAATTTACCCCAAAAATTCAATACTTTAGCACTCCAACAAAAAAATAAAAACAACTCAACTGTCTTGATCATATAATTTAACTTTTGTGTTTACACTCGGCTTTCCATTACAAATTAAATTTCCTCTAGCGGCTGCTGATTGTTTAGTGCCAAGACATTGACATTGATTTATTAACGAAATAATTAGGGTTAAAACAAAAATATATAGAGCAGAAAAATACATTTTTAATAAAATGCTTAATTATTTAATAAAAACTTAAATATAAACAATCATAATAAAAGTATAGAACATCATGTTTTTTCGACATAACTCATCGAAAAGATGCCCTTTTTGTTCGAAATTTTTTTGATATTACATAATTTTAATGAATAAAATGCCAAAAAGCAAAACCGCGTGAAAAAATTTTTTTTCTACATTATTTATAAGGTAAAAACTAGAGACCTGACTGGGAGTGTCGTACGAGACGCTCCCAGTCATCGAGATATCGAACTTCGAATTTTTTTGATGTTAATCGAATAACGACTGAGCTATTCTACATTATTTTTGGATGTTTAATTGAAAAAATAGTTAGGGGAATAAACAAAAAATAATAACTTAAAGCTAGAAAACAAGATTTGTTGTTTCTATATGTACTACATAGAGAATTAACATTTAAATTAATTTTTATAAAAATTAAATAAAATATTAAAAATTCTGATTAAATTCTATTTAAAATATAGAAATATTTATTTACAAATATTTATTTACATTTTTATATTTTAACATAAATAAACAAAATTAATGAAATAAAAAATCAAAAAAGAGATCTTAAACAATTAAATTGATTTTGATTTCTATTTGGCGAATTAATAAGTAAAATTGAAAATTAAAAATATGTACTTTTTTGTTTTAAATTAATGAATCATTAAATAATTTTTTTTATTTCTAAACCTTTAATTTAAAAAAATTTTAAATTTATTTTCGAATATCCACTGGTATTTACAAATAAATAGAATAAATTTAATTCCAATATTTTTCTAAAGCTTTAAAATGTTTATCTTGTACATTTTCACTAAATTGTTTTGTTGCTCTATCCCACATTTCGATTGTTGTTCTAACATCTATTTTTGAGGTAAATTTGCCAAATAATAATTTTTTAAATTTTGTGAATAAATTTTTTAATTTTTTGTTTAATAATGGATGAAAACTAGAAAAGAAAAAAATTTTTTTAAATTAAAATCCCTTTCAATCAAAACAAACGTTATAACAGTAATTTCAATTCCCAATTTGCATATAGTGTGTATTAAAAATATAAAACTTATTAAAGAATTAAGTAAATATTGATCTAGATTAGTATAAGAATTAAGTATAACAACAATATTTGAACATAAAATATTAATTAAATGAAAAATAAATGTTGGGGTAAGTTGTTTACCAGAATAAATATTTTCTTGTAACTAAATTTGGAAAAATAAAAAAATTTCTGAATTTATTTGTTTTTAACTGTTTAAAATATTTTATTTTTATATTCAAATCACAATCTTTTTGGCAATTTTATCAAAGGAAATATTAATGGATAACAAACATTTCATTATCCCTAATTGTACCTAATTATACCTCACCATAAATTTCCGATTTTTACATAATTTTACTTAATTTTGGCAACAGTTCATATAACCCCCGCTCCCCGTCAGATCGAAAAAAATTTTTTATTTTTAAATTTAGCTTTTAAAAAAATTAAAACCCCTTAAAAATCTACTTTTCAAATGCCCATTTATCTAAAAAAAATTAAAAATTACTTGATATCTCTCGCTCAATTTGTATTTGTATGTATAATTAGCTTTAATATCATTAAATTGTTCAAAACGTTTTTGATTATTTAAATGTAAAACAGAAAAAACCTTAAAAATAAATTATGAATTTTAAAATTAATTATTTAAAACAAACAATTAACTCTACAATGCTAATACCCAAAGCTATATGGGTTATTAATACATAAAAATTGAATTTTCTTTCAACAATTATAGTTGGTGTTGTTTGTCCAATTATAATTAAAATAACCTAACAAAAAATATTTTTTTAATTTAAATATTTGTAAATAATTTCCAATGTATTAAAAATTTCTATTTAATTTTGTTACATTAAATAATCTCTATTAGATTATAAATGGATATTGCGTCTCGCTAACAAAGCTGGTTTGAAACAAAAAAAATCGTCGAAAATCGGAACTCGAAAATAACACCAAAAGGTCGAAATTAAAAATCGAAAGAAAAGATTTAAAAATTGTGTTATATAAGTAATATCGTCATAAGGAAAAGCATTTCCGAGTTATGTAATATATGTATATATAATTAATTAGTCATTTTAATTAAATATGATATCATATTTATGATTGTAATAATTATAATTATTTATAATTACCTATAATAAAATAAATAATATTTATGATTAAATTAATATCATATTATGATAATATGTAATATTAATTAAGTGGAAATAGTCTAATGAAAAAGTTCCAAATAAAAGTTTTTTTCTGTGGACTTTGTGGACTTATATTGAGTATAACTTTACAATTTAATGTTTAATAATAAAAAACTTTAGAGGATAGAGTACTTATTATTATTGTATATCTAATCTTTTTTTTATTTATTATCAGAATTACCATAATTGAAATCCAAAGAATGCTAAACCAAGGTCCTTTTTGTTTTTCATATTTAACACTATTTAAAGTAGCTATTGTTCTTTCTACAATTATAATATGTCCCATCATATTACCATAAATTAACACACAACAGCCGATATTGTCGATAAAGTTATATTCATAATAAATACTTGTGTGATATAAAAAATTCGAGAAAATACTGAAAATAATATTTAATTTTGATTTTAAAAATTATATGTATATGAATTAATTTCTTTAAAAATGAACTTAATTTATTAATTTTTCTTAAATTTACTTATTTTTTATTTTAATAAATAAAAATATTCATTAATGTTGATTCATCTCAGTAAAAAAATTTATGAAATGTTTCGAGATTTACCGAAAAATCATATAATTATACCAATCCTAATATTATTTATAAATAGAGATTGCATTTAAGGTCGGTTAGAAATAATTTTTTAAACTAAGAATTTATTTGAAGAAATCTCAGATTGTCTAGTTAATTATTTAGAAAATGTTTTTTTTATTTTGGGAATGAGACGGTTCATAGAAAATCTTAGTATATCCGAAACTGAAGCGTAAAGAAAAATAATAGATTCTTTAGTTTTACGAAAACTAATCACAAAAAAATATTAAAAAAATAAAAACTTACTCTAATATTCGAATAAAAACAAAAATAAAAATAATAAAGCTTTGGATAATTAAAATAATTTTTAAATTTAAATGTAGAATATAACTTTTAAATAATAACCATACATTTAATAATGCAACAGATAAAGCAAAAAAAGCTGGAAATAATTCTATAGAATTACTTACAATAACTAAATTATCTAATATTGTTGTTGAATTTGTTGTTGAGTTCATTTTTTTAATTTAAGAAATTAATTTTTTTAAATAAGAAAAGTATTTTCTTTGATTTAATATTAAGGGTAATATTTTTTAAAAATCTAAATTTGTAATTATCCAAATTTAAAATGAAATTGAAATAGTATAAATAGATTCAATTAAATAAAATTTTATATTTAATAAATATTTATTTAAAAGGAAACAATATTTTAGATAATAATTAAAATAAGTATAAATTTCTGAAATTATTTTTATATACTAATAGGTTGACCCAAAAAGAATGAGCTTTTTTATTTGGACTAAATTTGGAATTGTACACTGGGAATTAATTCCAAGGAGGAGATCTCTTAATGGAAATCACTATCGTACAATTCTGGACCACGTTCAAGTTGCCATTGATGGTTTCACAGTTCAGGGACGACGTCAAGGCCAGGTTGTTTTCCATCAGGTTGTTTTCCATCACTATTTTCTTACTTAATTTAGAATTGTTTTTTTAAATGAGTGGCAAGAAATGGTGAACAATATTTTAGATAATAATTAACTAATAATTAACTAAATATTTTTTATTGATAAATAATTTAATTTAAAAATAATTCAAATTCATGATGGAATTCAAAGAAAATTCCCAAAAAAGAATATCAACAATTCCAGTCATTTTTTAAGAACAAATTCATTCGTTATATTTTTTTGATTATTTTCGAATATTTTTTAAAATGTTTATTTAAAAATTTACTAAAAATTAAAAATAATTTTTCTTAAATATTTAAGCAAAGAATGAAATAAAAAAAATTTTTTTTAAGAAATTCTTAATTAATTTTGTCTCAGAATTTATTTAATTTAAAACAATTTTATAACAAAAATTTAAAACAATTATTAAAAAAAAAATAAAAATTAAATTTTAAAAGAATATATTTACTTAAATTGTTGGGTTCTATTTAAAAATTAAAATTATTTAATTATATATAATTTATTTATCTTCTTTGATATTTTATTAGTTTTTAAACTTTTCTAAGAAATTTTTAAGAAAATTTAGGTGCGACAAGACATTTTTGAAATTTTTTAATTTAATTGAACCGATAATTAAATTTTTTGGAAAAAATAAAAATTAAATAAAAAAATTTAAAATTATGAGAAATTGAGGGTAAATTTAAACCAAAATTGATAAAAGGAATGTTGCAAAATCAACCAAAGATTTTTAAAATTAAATTTATTATTTTTATTTTAATAATAAGCTTTTGATAATAAATATATAAAATAATAAATCTTTTTGTTTCTAAGGTTACTTTTGAAAAGGTTGTTAAAAAATATATAAAACAGGTAATTATTAAGTAATAAAATATTTTTTAATTTATATTATTTATTAAAATTTGATTAAAAAATATTTTACTTATTTATTTTTAAAAATAAAAAAGGAAAGGAGAAATTAATTTTTATTAAAACAATTTTTTATTACTTTCTTTGAAAATTAAATAAAAATTTAATAGAAGAAAATTAATAAAAATTAGAATATTTAAAAAAATATGTAGAAATATAGAATAGGTATTTTAATTTAAAATAAAACAATATATTCAAATAAACAATACACTTTTTTAATTAAGCATATCTAAATTTTCTTCTATTATTATAATTAATAAATTTAAATAATTTTGGAATTTTCTTTTGTTTATTATCATCAAAATCTCCTTCTTCCTCTCCTTCTTCGTTTTCTTTTAAAATTAAATAATTATTTATTTCATTTATTTCTCTT